TCTATTGAATTTCCATTCCTGTCCATCCTATCCAAAATATCATTTTTCCGGTATTATTCGTGGAGCAAAGAAAGAAGAGATTTGGAAAAAATGTGACTTCATCGAACGTGTCTATAACATTTTACATATATATTAAAACTTGAACGAAAAAATTAATATCTTTATTAATGAAAATCAATGCATAAACCTAATAATATTTCTTATTTACATCACTCGATTTTAAGATATATTTAAAACCACCATCATCTCTCAAGTGCTTACCCCCAAATGAATACCCTTTATTTATCTTTGTACCAAGAAACTGGAACGAAAAATTATTCTCCGAGTGTTCGTATCAATTATTCCCTAAGCATCCTCCGTTAAATCCAATTCAATTCCAAACATCGATCCGAAAGTAGAAGCAACAGAAGCCGCCACGCTTCCAAGGGACCTCTCGAGTCAATGTTAAACAGATTGAAGAATTAATCGAGCTGTAGCAGAGGACACGGGATTGCCCGTTCGAAATCATTCTCCTGTCAGAACGTCACAGTTTCCTTGCCGATATCCCACGAGTAAATTTCGCGGCGCTTTCCCTTCCCGTTATCCAGACCGTATCTACGTCACCTGGACATACACTCGAAATAGATGAACTCTTGGCCTAGATCTTTGCGCACGCTATGGTCGCCGCCGTTTCGTTGGGAAACGATCGAGTCGCACGGACATTAGAAGAATTTCTCTTCTCAAATTTCTTGGCGCGTTTTTTTTTTTTTTTCCAACGAGGATGCAACGAGGAGTTTTTTTTTTTTCTTTCTTTCCTTCTTTTTTTTCTTTTTCGGATAGGAGAGACCCGAGGGTCCGTATCGATACTCTCCCACGCGAAATCCAGAAGCTCGAAGCCATCTCGACACGTGGCCCCCTTCCTTCTTCTTCTTTTTTTTTTTTTTCTCTTTTTTTTTTTTTTCTCTTTTTTTTTTTTTTCTCTTTTTTTTTTTTTTCTCTTTTTTTTTTTTTTCTCTTTTTTTTTTTTTTCTCTTTTTTTTTTTTTTCTCTTTTTTTTTTTTTTCTCTTTTTTTTTTTTTTCTCTTTTTTTTTTTTTTCTCTTTTTTTTTTTTTTCTCTTTTTTTTTTTTTTCTCTTTTTTTTTTTTTTCTCTTTTTTTTTTTTTTCTCTTTTTTTTTTTTTTCTCTTTTTTTTTTTTTTCTCTTTTTTTTTTTTTTCTCTTTTTTTTTTTTTTCTCTTTTTTTTTTTTTTCTCTTTTTTTTTTTTTTCTCTTTTTTTTTTTTTTCTCTTTTTTTTTTTTTTCTCTTTTTTTTTTTTTTCTCTTTTTTTTTTTTTTCTCTTTTTTTTTTTTTTCTCTTTTTTTTTTTTTTCTTTTCTTTCTTTTTTTTTTTTTTTTTTTTTTACGAAACGTCCGATAAACGTCTGCGGGCGAAGTTTCCCGGTTCATTCGTCACCGTGCCCTGACAGCGTTCCGATTTTCCTTCCTTTTTTCGTTCTCACACCCCTCTCCCCATGCTCCACCCATTGTTCGAACGTTGGATCGAATTCGATGTGTTCTTCTTATCGCGGAGGAAGATACACGTACAGGCGATCGCAAGGTCGAGATTGTGAATTCTCTCTTGCTCCATTATAGTTGGAAATTGGAAATTGATAGATTCGAATTTTAATGATAATCGAAATGTTCTGTTGCCAAATTTTGGAATATTTTTATCGATCCGATCGTTCAAGGTGCACGAAATTTGCAAGAAACCGTGACCACGATCGAATCTTCGCGCAACGATAATTTCAATCTCGCAATCTGCCTATTACAGTATTCCACGTTTCCAGAGTGGAGTGTATCCATATCGTATCGTATTCGAAGTCAATTTTTCCCGAATCTCCATTTCAACTGTAAACTCTGTTCGATGATTCAGTGATCATTTCCACGTAACATTGGCGAAAAATTGCTCCCGTGATTTCCTGTTTTTTTTTTTTCATATTTCCTCGAGAGTTCACCCCGCCTCGTAATCCAGTGATGAACGCGGTACCACAGTATCGAGGCGTTTCTGCCTATTTCCATTTATAGGCAGAGGGAGGGAAAAAAGATACCAAGTCACGTAAATCGTCACGCGATAGAGACACGCGGCGAATATTCCTCTGCAACCTGGGCTCGAAACTTCCGGCCGGAGACCGACCGTGCCCGATAGAGACAAGCCACACCATTAAGCGGCATGATACCCCATACAAATCACGTCGATCCGCGATTTATGGTCTATACCCTCTCACGCTATCGCGTTATCAGTCCTCCCGGTTACGGTTCCCGAAACTAGATTCCATACTCTAGGAAAGCTCTGTTTTCATCTGTCCGAATTACGATTCTTTTCTTCACGCGTTAACGTGCCATCCGGGTGAACGATATATCCCCACGTATTTCATTGTAATTCTCTCGCGTGACGCGCGTTGAATTTGAATTTTTTCGATTTTATTTAATTTCAAATTAACTTTTGTTTAATAATAATTTTTTGTATTTAATAATCTCAATCGTTTTGCGTGTAAATATATATATATATAAATTTACGAAATTTATTCTTGATTTTGATTGATTTTTGTTCCAAGGGATTCCATCTCGAAATTGTCCATCCATTTAATTATCTCGAGAAATCTGTTTACAGCATCTACTTCAATCCCTAGGAGACTCGCAATGTTTCATTTAGCTTCTGTAGACTCGCTAATTTATCTGTACTACTTGAAGCCACTAACCCAATTAACCTGGAACTGGCTTTGGCGACGTATCGTAATGTTTTGTATTACGTAGAAACTTTCTGCCAGTATCATCGATCTCTTCTTACGTCCATTCTGTAGCATCGATGCTTATCTCTAAATGACCCTTCCTACGGTAACACGGTATCTCGGAAAAGTAGATTGGGTTGTAACTTTGAAACGATCGGAGATAAAAGGAAATAGATTTCTCATAGTTTGATAATCATATTGTGCAATCACGTTATGCAATTGAATTATAATCTTTCGAGCTATAAACAAATTAGAGGCAAATCATTTCTAGAGTATAATCTTAATTTTAAATTCTTTTCTTCATCCATTATATTAATAGATAACATCCTAATCACGTACTTTTCAAATAATCATTTTCGAATTTTTGATTTAAAAAAAATATCGAACGTACACGCGATTCAATTTTCAAAATTAAAATACCCAGCCATACGTGCGCGCATAAATACAAACTACCGATAGATCAGAAATTTTCTTTCATTTCCACCCTTTTCGAAGCTACAACCCAGCCCACTTGTCCGATACACACACCGGTACCATCCTGATTTATTTTTCATCCTGTTTACCCAATATCGATGACGATTCAACCCCTCGATTCGCCACCCTGGAATCCATGCAAATTTCGAATCAACCAGCTAACGCGTCCCCAAACATAAATCCCAACGATACGCCGGGTGCTATTCCTATTTTCGACGCGCCATCTTTTCTCCACGTCCCCTCCATTCTTTTCGCTTCCATCGTCGCTCTTACCGCGCGTTACGCCTCGCTACTGGTTCGCCTGGCTCGACTTTTAAACCATTTACCCGTGACTCTTTGTGCGATATTTTTTTTTTTCCTTCTTCTTCTTCTCTTTCTCTCTCTCTCTCTCTCTCTCTTTCTCTCTTTTTTTTCTTTCTTTGATTCCGAATGGTAAATGCCAGAGGCAGCGTAATGCGCGCGCGTAGGCGTCGTGTTTATTTCCCGGAAAAGCGAAAAAATGGCGAAAAGCGTGACGTCAGAACGTCCGCATTCATCGGGAGTACAAAACGCGTCGGTGTTTGTTTAACCGGTTTTAAAAGACCTCCGATTTTTCTGCCGGCCGTTCTTGCGATGAAAATTCTCTCTTTTTTTTTTATTTTTCTTTATTTTTTTTTTTTTCTTCCTCTTCCATTCCCTCCTCCACTTTTCTTGCCTCCCTTTCGTCTCTTGAACGAAATGAGTTCCGCGTTATCGAATACACGCGAGAGTAATTAATACGCGAAATCGTTATCGTTATGACGTATTTCGCGTGATCAGGGTGAATTTATCGCGAAATGCAATTCGATTATTTTCGGTTTTTTGTTGTTTGTTTTTTTGGTTATTGATTTTGTTGAAAAGTAATTTATGATCTTTGCTTTTCTGCACTTTTCTTATTATTATTATTATTTTTCTTTTTTCGAGTGATTGATTTTACGATTTACGGCAGAAAATTTCGAATTGTTGGAATTGAACAATTTTTTGATATTATTTAACGTATGAGACGAATAAATTAGAGATTGTATTTAATCATTTGATTATGGTAAATTTATACTATATAACAAATAATTAAAAATTATTGAAAAATTAATTCTTGTGATATTCTTGCAATTTTAATTATCAAGAAAATATTTATTATTATTACGTATTCAATTTACAACTTCAAAGAAATTTATTATAATTCAATAATAACGTGTATCAAAATTTAATAACTTTTTTTTACATGTTTTAGTCTGCAATTAAATCGAATCGAATTATCGTCGTATCTCGGAAGTGAAAAAAAAAAAA